GGTATTGCTATGAATCTGTACATTGCTTTGGGTAATATGGACATTTTGATGATGTTAATTTTTCCAATCCATGAACATGGTATATATTTCCATTTTTTTGTGTCTTCCCCCTCCTTTTTGTTCTCCGTATGTTCTTTGTAATTGTTCCTGTAAACCCTTCACCCTTTTCGTCTTTTATCCCCTCCCCTCTCCCTTCTGATCTCTGTCAGCCTGTTCTCAATTTCAATGTCTTTGGCTATACTCTGCTTGCTTGTTTGTTTTGTTGATTAGGTTCCTGTTAATGGTGAGATCATATAGTATTTGTCTTTCATCGCCTGGCTTATTTTCACTTAGCATTAATGCTCTCCAGTTCCTTCCATGATGTCACAATAAATAATGTTTTGACATGTAGTTTTCTGGTGTTTGTTTTCCTTGTCAACCATAAGAGTTCAAAGGAAGGAAGGAATTTTCTGGCACATTGAGAACGAATAAGCTCCATAAGAGTAGGGATTTTTGTTGTTGTTGTTTCAAGTGCCTAATATCTGGCACATAGGTGTACAGTAAGTATTTGAATAAAAATTGGCTGAATTAATAAATTTTTAATCTATTATCACTTTGAAGTATTTAAATTTTTTAGGAGTTAAGTTTGGATGTAAGAAGAATTTTTGTTCTTTGGAAACAGATTTTAGAATGAGGAGAGCAATCACTGTACACTTATCCACTAGTTTGTTAAGAGATGGTTTTACATTTGGACAAACACAGTGTATGTAGACCACTGTGGAAGAGAAATATGTGAGGAAACTTGCTGTTAAAGTAGAAACAAATAAGTACAAGTTCATATTGTAAAGTAACTTGATAAACATAAAGTTGATCAATTGTAATGCAAAATGTTTTAAAGAGCTATAGTTTTATTAGTTTGAGGTAATATAACTAGACTTCAGTTAATAAAGGAGATAATCTTTAAAATAAATAGGCAATGATGTTTTAATGAGGATGTCAAAGTATAAGCCAAAGCAATTAGTGTTTATACATAAAGTGCTTAGCTGTTTTTTATTAGTAAATATTTTCTTTAGTAAATATTTTTAACTCTTATGCTTTTGCTAACTAGAAGGGTCACAAATTATAATGAAGATCTGAGACTCCTTTATAATAGAAACTGCTTAAGTATTAAAGGGGAAGTGAAGGAGAGATCAACATTTGATATGTAAGAAAATGAAGGGATAGGATAGGAAATTATGTAGGATGAGAAGGCATTCAGGTCATGTAGTCAGCAGTATTTATTAATAGGTTAGTATGCTAGAGGCTGAGATATAAAAGTGAAAAAAGTAGACCAGGTTCTTATCTTCATGTAGCTTACAAATGTAGGAAGGAAACCCATCATGGCATAATGTGAAATTGTGATAAAAATGCTTCTCTCTTACTAATTAGGTTGAACATTCTTTTTCCATTGCCTTTTACATTTTAAAAAAATAACAGCTTTATTAAAATATGATTCACACATCATGACATTTATCCTTTCAAATTGTTCAATTCAGAGAGGTTTTTTTTTTTTTTTTTTGGTCTTGATAGCCAAATTTCAGAAGGGTTCTCTTTGAGTGCTTCTTTTCCAGATCTTTCTCTGAAATCTTCTACCTTCTTTTTTTAATAAAGATTTTGTTTATTTTTAAAGAGGGGAAAGGAGGGGGTGGAAGAGAGGGAGAGAAATATCAATGTGTGGTTGCCTCTTGCATGCCCCCTACTGGGGACCTGGGGACCTGGCCTACAACCTAGGCATGTGCCATGACTAGGAATTGAACCAGCAGTTTTCAGGCTAGCACTCAATCCACTGAGTCACACCAGCATGGCTGCCTTCCTTTTTTGACCTCTGCTGGTGGTAGGTAGTTTTTGTGGGTACTCTTTGAGGTTTATTCTGACTGCAGTTGTGCTAGCTCATCTTAGCTATCTCTCCTTGTTTTTTTCTGCGGAACTAGCTGGCTTAAAGATATTTATCTGTAGAGGTATCTGTAGAGGGGAAGGGAAGAGGAGAGGGAGAGAAACATCAATGTATGGTTGCCTTCGTGCATCCCCTGCTGGGAACTGGCCTGCAGGGAACCGGCCTGCAACTCAGTATGTGCCCTGACTGGGAATCGAACCGCGATTGTCTGGTTTGCAGGCCTGCGCTCAATCCACTGAGCTACACCAGCCAGGGCTGGGAGTTACTGTTTTTAAGGCATTCTTCACACTGTTTCAAATAAAGTCAGTTACTTTTGAGAGAGCTTAAGAGTTCTTACAGTCTGCCTATCCTCCAGGGCAAAGTCTCTGAGCACTGTTCTGGGCACAGGACTGGACAGTAGCCTCTGACTGACTACTTCTGGTATCCTATGAGCAAACTGTTGAGGACAGTGGGGCCCCAGCAATCTCAGCCTACCACCCTGTGATAAAGCTTCTGATTTATAGGTGGAGACTGAATAGAGGAAGGGGGCCTCTACTTTCTTAGCCACAGTCATCTGGAATTTAGCCTCTTTAACTTGGAGGTTGAGGGAATGAGAAATACTGACAGCTTACCTTTCTCTGTGACTTAAGGTAAGCCTTGATTAAGAGCTGAAAGGGAGCTTTGTTTTCTTGGCCACACCTACATGAAACAGAGCTTCTGTTAACCTGAGCTGGGGCAAGGTAATGGGTTATGGCTCAGATGCCATAAAATGTCCAAATATCAAATTTTAGTAGATGTTCTCGAGTAATATTTCTTTATTCAAATACACCATCAAGACAATTTTCAGACTTTAAATGGTTGTTTTTTAAAAATAGGTTTTGTCAGTTTTGCCTGTATTGCTGGAAGTAGAACTCTCCAAACTGCTTAATTCCAAATATTTCTAAGGTTCAAAGATGTCTTCTCAGTAAGGAAATGACCATCCAATGTAACTCAGAATTTTTTTTCTTTTCTTACGTTTCTAATCAGAGGTTTTGGTCAGACATGAAACCCAGAGCTACCAATATCAGAGCAGTCTTTGCACTACCTTAACTCATACTAAAGACTTTATAATCACTGTGTATATCATGAGCTAAAGATGCTATTTTCAGGGTTTATTTACCTGGTTTTCTGCTTCTCACAGAAATCTGCATCTTCCTACCAGCATGATTACTTAATTGGATTTTGCAGTTCTTTGACTCTATTGATATGTGGATGTTTCCTCATAGGACATTTGATATTTTTGCATTCCTTCATATTATTAGAATCATACAATTTACAGATATTTAAGTTGATATTAAGTTAAATTCTGAACTTTTAAATGGCTTCATCTTATCTGAAATTATGTTTTATAAAATAACTCTACTGACATCTGTACCTTTCAGTTATATACAGAGTTTCATATAAGAGTCAGAAACTTAGAATTTTAGAAGTTGAATGTGCCTCATTTTTTATTGTATTTAATGAAGAATTCTTTCCAGTTGTCACCCTTGATATGTTTGTCAGTATACTAAGTTCAATTGATCACTGTCTCCTCCTTTCTGTGTTTACTTGTGTTTACTCTTTTTATGACCACTGAATGACTCCCATCCTAAAATATTCCTACATTCCTGAGAGGGAATACAGTGTATGGCAGAGTGATCATAGCAAATCATTTCATATGTCACTTAAAAGAAAGTATATTGGTTTTGGGGGGGGTTAATCAGCCATTTTAGTTTTGGTGGTGGAGAGGGAGTGGGGTCATGTTGTAAAATACATTTATACTTCTGCCTAAGATTATCATGTAGATAATTTCTTCAGCAGGAGCATAGGCTTGACAGTTTCTTGCAGAATGAGGTGGTAACTATAATTGAACCAATTTACAAACACTTATTAATATAAGCATTGCTTACCTCAGGTTATAATTCTGCAGAAGTGAAGTTACAGAAGGAGTAGATAGTGGTCAGTTTTTTTAAAAGGTTTTATTTATCTTTAGAGGGGAAGGAGAGAGGGAGAGAAATATCAATGTATGGTTGCCTCTCATGTGTCCCCTGCTGGGAACTGGCCTGCAACCCAGGCATGTGCCCTGACTGGGAATCGAACCACGATCCTCTGGTTCGCAGGCCCACACTCAATCCACTGAGCTACACCAGCCAGGGCAATAGTGGTCAGTTTTGTAGTAGTTAGTAAGCTATTGTGAATTCCCTTTTTTGTAACATTCACTTGTATACTATTATAATGTCATATAACATCTGTCTGTAATAGTGATCTGTTGTGAAAATTTACTTTCATGATATACTGTGTCTGGCTGTTTGATGAATTTTATACTGTAATTGGTAGGATTTAGTGCTAAAATATCCATGTATGTTCCTATAGTTTTGAGAATGACATAAGAAACTGGTCATTGATTGCCCCTAAAGAAGAGAATAGCCTAGGTTAGAGGACTCAGAGGGGAAGTATACCCTTTTATTCCATCTGAGTTTTGTAATGAGTGTAAATGTTGCTGAAACAGTAGTAAAGCACTAAACAATGGCACAAGAGAAAATAGGCAGACACTCTGTGGATATAAGTCTTGCTAAATATAATTTGGGGACTGCTGCTTGGATTTCTTTTCACATTTAGTAAGCTCTCTGTGTTGCTTCATGGCTAAATTTGATTAGAATGCCCTTGTAGGTGGTAAAAATTCTGTTCTAATATTTTATTATCATATTGTTCCCTCTAAGTTCAGATGATTTAGAAAAGTTGCTAGGTTTCTCTTTAACATAGGTCTGTTCTAGATTTGGAATACAAGTTAGTAGATGTGTTGCTTCATGAATAAAAAGACCATGGTGTTGACTTACGAGTATTCTTTTACTACAGATAACTAAGACAAGATTTTTCGAGGTACTTTGATCTATATAGATGGTAAAAAATTTACTTGAAGCTTTTTTCAAAGTCTGAATGATTAAATTCATTCTTGGTTTTTCATTTTATAAGAACACCTTTAACAAATCTCTTTAGAAAATGAAATTGGATTATGTTCAAGTTTTAGATTATTGTCATATCATTGTATTCTAAATATTTACAGGCTTTTTTTTTTCTTTCTGTCCTTTAGCCGGCCTCAGAAAGTGTGTTTGTGTCCATTTCTACCAGTACATCCTCTGCACATCTCTACCCACTTGTACATAATTCAGCATCCAGCAGAGGTAAGATTTTGTAAAATACACAAGTTCAAATAGACTATTAGTACTCAAGAGGAAACACACAGATGAACATACTCATTTCTTTAGTAATTCTGGGAGTAAATTGATGATAAATGTCTTTTCTTTGGGAAAAAATTTCTTTTACATATTACATGTAGTGTCATATGCTTTGGAAATAGATAAAAATGTTATTTTATAAAAACTATTTTGTCGAATAGTATAGAAATTTAGAACTCCAATAATTTCATTTGAAGGAAAAATGAGATTTATGTGAGTAAAGAGCTGAGAAAATCAGTGCTTTTAAAATTTTTGATTATACTTTATATTCATTGATGTCTTTTCTTATTAAAGTAGAAGTAATTCTCAGCATTTTATTTTATTTGTTTTTATTTAAAAATTATAATTTATTGATTATGCTATTATAGTTGTCTCAATTTTTCCCCATTTGCCCACCTCTACCCAACACCCCCCACTTCATCAGGCAATTCCCACACCATTGGGGATTGTTCATGTCCATGGATCATGTGTATAAGTTCTTTGGCTACTCCATTTCCTATACTGTATGTGTTACATCCCACTGGCTATTCTGTAACTACCTATTTGTACTTTTAATCCCCTCACCTCTTCATCCTTTTGTCCACAGTTCCCTCCAACTGGTAACCATCAAAACCCTTTCCACATGCATGATTTTGTCTTTGTTCTTCTTGTTTGCTTAATTACTTTTTTAGATTCAATTGTTGATAGATATATATTTATTGCCATTTTATTATTCATAGTTTTGATCTTCTTTTATTTAAAAATAATTCCCTTTAACATTTTATCTAATAATGATTTGATGGTGATGTACTCCTTAGTTTTTTCTTCCCTGGGAAGCCCTTTTTTTTCTTTCCAATTTTAAATGATATATTTGCTGGGTAGAGAAGTTTTGGCTGTTAGTCCCTACTTTTCATGACTTTGATATTTCTTGCCAATCCCTTCTAGTCTGCAAAGTTTCTTTTGAGAAATCAGCTGACAGTCTTAAGGGAACTCCCTTGTAAGTAACTGACTTCTTTTCTCTTTCTGCTTTTAAGACTCTTTCTTTATATTTAACATTTGATATTTTGATTGTGATGTGTCGTGGAGTGGGTCTCTTTGCATCCATCTTGTTTGTGACTCTATGTTTCCTGGACTTGCATGTCTATTTCCTTCACCAAATTGGGGAAGTTTTCTTTTATTATTTTTCAAGTAAATTTTCAAATTCGTGCTCATTCTCTTCTTCTTCTGGAACCCCTATGATGCAAATGTTGGAAAGCTTGAAGTTGTCCCACAGGCTGCTTATGTACTCCTCAATTTTTTGGATTCTTTTTTTTTTTCTTGTTATTCTGATTGTTGCTTTTTGCTTCCTTATGTTCCAAATCATTGATTTGGTTCATGGCTTTATCCACTCTAGTGTTGTTACCCTGCAAATTGTTCTTTATTTCAATTACTATATACTTTGTTTCTGACTGGATATTTTTATGCTGTTGAGGTCCTCACTAAGATTCTTTTTTTTTTTTAATTATTTTTCAAATACAGTTTTCTGCCTTTTACTCCCTTCACAGCCCAACCGCTGTGCTCCCATCCTCCCTCCCATTTCCACCCCCCTTAGTTCTCGTCCCTGTGTCCTTCCTATTTGTTCCTCCAAATCCCTCCCCTCTTTCCCCTGAAATTCCCTCCCCTCTCCCCTCCAGTTGCTATTCCCCCATTCTCTATTTTAGTGTCATTGTTTTTATTTTGCTTGCTCGTTTCTTTTGTTGTTTAGCTTCCTATTAAAAGGGAGAACATATGGTATTTGTCTTTCAATTCCTGGACTATTTCACTCAGCATAATGCTTTCCAGTTCCATCCATGTTGTTGCAAAGGGTAGGAGCTCCTTCTTTCCTTCTGCTGCACAGAATTCCATTGTGTATATGTACCATAATTTTTGATCCATTAATTTACTAACAGGCACCTAGGTTGCTTCCAACTCTTGGCTATTGTAAATTATGCTGTTGTGAACATTGGGGTGCATAGGTTCTTTTGGATTGGTGTTTTAGGGTTCTTAGGATATAATCCCAGCAGTGGAATTGCTGGGTCAAAAGGCAGGCCCATTTTTATTTTTCTGAGAAAATTCCATACTGTTTTCCATAGTGGTTGTAAGTCTGCAAACCCACCAACAGGGAACTAGGGACCCCTTTCCCCACAACCTCTCCAACATTTGTTGTTTGTTGCTTTCTTTATGATAGCCATTCTGATTGGTGTAAAGTGGTATTTCATTGTGGTTTTAATTTGCATGTTTCTGATAGCTACCAATATTGAGCATCTTTTCATGTGTCTCTGGATCCTCTGTAGGTCCTCCATGGAGAAGTGTCTGTTCAAGTCCTTTTCCCATTTTTTAATTGGGTTGCTTGTCTTCTTAGAGTGAAGTGTTGTGAGTTCTTTGTATATTTTGGAGACTAAAACTTTGTCTAAGGTATCATTGGCAAATATGTTTTCCCATACAGTCACTTGTCTTTTTATTTGAATACTGTTTTCTTTACCCACGCAGAAGCTTTTTATTTTCATGACATCCCATTTATTTATTCTATACTTTATATTCCTTGCTCTAGGGGACATATTAGTAAAAAAGTTGCTGTGTGAAATGTCTGAGATTTTTCTGCCAATGTTCTCCTCTAGGACTTTCATGGTGTCACAGCTTATATTTAAGTCCTTTATCCAGCTTGAATTTATTTTGGTGTATGGTATAAGTCTGCACTCAAGATTCATTTCTTTGCACATAACTGTACAGTTCTCCCAACACCATTTGTTGAAGAAGCTATCATTACTCCATTTTATGTTACTGCCCCCTTTGTCCAATATTAATTGACTGTAGGGAGTTGGGTTGATTTCTGGGCTCTCTGTTCTGTTCCATTGGTCTATGTGCCTGTTTTTATGCCAGTACCAGGCTGTTTTGATTACAGTGGCCTTGTAATATAGCTTGATAGGTATTGTGATCCCTCCTACTTTGTTCTTCTTTCTCAAAATTTCGGCTGCTATTCGGGGTTGTTTGTGGTTCCATATAAATGTTTGAAGTGTTTGTTCAATGTCTGTGAAATATGCCATTGGTACTTTAATAGGTATTGCAGTGAATCTGTAAATTGCTTTGGGTAATATGGACATTCTTATGATGTTAATTCTTCCAATCCATGAACAAAGTATATGTTTCTCTTTGTTTGTCTTCCTTCATTTCTTTCTTCAGTGATGTGTAGTTTTCTGCATACAGGTCTTTTACCTCCTTGGTTAGGTTTATTCCTAGGTATTTTATTTTTATATTTGCAATATCAAATGGGATTTTTATCTTGATTTCTGCTTCTGCTGATTCATTGTTTGTATACAAAAATGCCTTTGATTTCTGGATATTGACTTTGTAACCAGCTGTTTTGCCAAACTCATCAATTAGTTAGAGCAGTTTTTTGGTAGAGTCTATAGGATTTTCCATGCACACTATCATGTCCTCTGCAAACAATGACAGTTTTGTTTCCTCCCTTCCGATTCGGATGCCTTTTATTTCCTTTTCTTGTCTGATCACTGTGACTAAAACTTCCAGTACTATATTGAATAGAAGTGGTGAAAGTGGACAGCCATGTTTTGTTCCTGATCTTAGTGGCAAAGATTTTAGTTTTTTCCCATTGAGTATGATGTTGGCTGTAGGTCTCTTATATGTGGCCTTTATTATATTGAAGAATGCTCCATCTATTCCCACTTTGCTGAGTGTCTTTATCATAAATGGGTGTTGTACCTTATTAAAAAGCTTTTCCCGAGTCTATTGATATGATCATATGGTTTTTGTCTTTGCTTTTGTTTATGTGGTGTATTATATTTACTGATGTGTGAATACTGAACCATCCTTGCATCCCTGGGATGAATCCCAATTGGTCATGGTGTATGATGTTTTTGATTTATTGTTGGATGCGATTTGCAAATATTTGTTGAGGATTTTAGCGTCTATGTTCATCAGCGATATTGGCCTGAAGTTTTCTTTCTCTGTTGTGTCTCTATCTGGTTTTGGAATTAGGATGATTCTGGCTTCATAAAAAGAGTTTGGGAGTTTTCCATCCTTTTGGATTTTTTTGGAATAGTCTGTGAAAAATAGGGGTTAGCTTTTCCTTAAATGCTTTGTAGAATTCTTCTGTAAAACCATCTGCTGCAGGGCTTTTGTGTGAGGGCAGTTTTTTGATTACTGCTTCAATTTTATCTGCTGTTATTGGCCTGTTCAGGTTTTCTGCTTCTTTTTCATTGAGTTTTGGAAGATTATATTTTCCTAGAAATTTGTCAATTTCCCCTAGGTTTTCAAATTTCTTAGCATACAGTTCTTCATAGTAATTTCTTACAATCCTTTGTATTTCTGTGGTATGAGTTGTAATCTCTCCTCTTTCATTTCTGATTGTGTTTATTTGTGTCCTCTCTCTTCTTTTCTTGATGAGACTACTTACAGGCTTGTCCGTTTTGTTTATCTTTTCAAAGAACCAACTCCTGGATTCATTGATCCTTAGAATTGTGATTTTATTCTCTATATCATTTAGTTCTGCTCTGATCTTGGTTATTTCCTTCCTTCTGCTTGCTCTAGGCTGTCTTTGTTGTTATTCCTCAAGTTCTTCTAGGCATAGGGTTAGGTTGTTTTTTGAAATGTTTCTATTTTTTTTTAGGTAGGCTTGTATTGCTATGAACTTCCTTCTCAGGACTGCCTTCACTGTGTCCCATAAGTTTTGGGTTGTTGTGAATTCATTTTCATTTGTTTCCAGAAACTTTTTTTTTATATTTTATTTTAGTTTTATTTTTTTATTATTTCCTCATTTTTTTATTTAGTTATTTTTTAAGTACAGTTTTTTGTCTATTTCTCCCATCCAAGCCCCCCCCCCGTACTGTGCTCCCCACCCCCCCAACCCTCGTCCCTGCGTCCCTCAAATTTGTTCCCCCAAATCCCTCCCCCCTTCCCCCTTAAATTTCCTTCCCTCTCCCCTGTGGTCA